GTATTTATTTTTTTTTCTTTCGATTGCTTCATTTTCTTTCTTCTTTCTTTTTTCTTTTGGTATATATTAATATATCGAGATATTGATTATACATAAAATTAGAGAAGAATTAGAGGATCAAATGGATCCAAGTGTACGTGGAGTTTGGTTGATGGAAGAGAAGCATGAATCTTTTGTCATTATTAAGATCTATAAAAATTATATATTTAATAAAGTTTAATACATTTAAATATTTATTTATAAATTTTTATTAAAATATTTTTTATATCATGTTATATCTCATCTTATGCCATCAATATTAATCATTTCACATTTTAGCTCTCGATTTAGTTAGTATATGTCATTCGTTCACCCGTAGAGAGCAGCGTAATCTCAGTGCTCTCCTTTGGTGGCTCGATCCACGTGGTCATTCGATACGCTTCTAAAAGCTAGAGAGTAGCTTAAATACGTGCCATAATATTAGCACGTCAAGATTGATAGGAGCTTGCACGAAAATAAATAATCCAAAAGTGACGGAAGAAGATAACATGACTCGACCTCTTCACGTATACATATGAAGCACTCCCAACAACCATTCACCAGAGATCAAAACCTTCCACAGCGAGAAAAAGACCGATCCCGCTTGTGGTCGGGAATGGATAAAAGCAAGAAATGATAAAGATAAAATATTACGATATAATTAAAAATTAAAAATATTTTAAAGCAAAAAATTAAAACAGTATTAAATAAGAGATAAATCAAGAATAATTATAAAATATTTCCAAGAGTATACACTTTTACATTATGAAACATGATCCTATTTATAGAACCTAATAGTAATCATCTTACCCTCTCATGCCACTCGTGATTAAGCTAAGCGTAGGAATTATCCCTACATGATAACTAGATAAGATAATTAACTACTTATAAATCAATTCTCAATACTCCCTCTTATTCATAGTTACATATACCAATTTAAGATATAAAATAAACATGCTTATGAGATGAAAGTAACTTAGTGAGAATATCTGTAACTTATTTAATTGTCCTATAATACTTCATTGTTATAGCTCCACTTAATACAAAATCTCGAATAAAATGATAATATATCATCTATATATTTCATTCTTTCGTGAAAGGCTAGACTCTTCGGCATTGCAATTTGTGATTTGTTGTTATAAAATATTTTAGTTGCTTCTTTTTGTTCTTAATGAATATCTCCAAGAAGTCTTCTAAGTTATATTACTTGACAAGCTACTGACATTTCAACAACATAGTCTGGTTTCGATGTTGGCAATATAGTTGTTTGTTTTTTTGAATTCCAAGATATAGCTCCTGATTCGAAGCTGAAAATATTACATGAAATACTTTTTCTATTATCGAAAACTCTTATACAATTATTAGTGAAACCAAATCATTTATATTTAAAATTATGAAAATACCAGAAGCCATAACCTGTAGCTCCAGTAATATAATGTAGAATTCTTTTAATAGTTCCGATATGATATTTGCTTGAACTATGCATAAACTTGGAAATACACCAACATACAAAGTAATATCTAGTCGAGTATGAGTTAGATAGATCTAAGCCTTAATCTAAACTTAGTATCTTGCATTTGTCAAACATATGTCATATTCAAGTTTTAATTTCTTTTTTACATTACCTTTGTAATTAATTATGTTAGACATTTTAATTAGATTTATTATATACTATTTTTATGAAATAAAAATCTAGTTTGATCTTTGCTTCACCTCCAATCTACCAAGTCTAACATTTCAAACTTATTCATTATGTATTTCTTAAATTCTACCACAAGAGAGTTAAATGAACTCATAATATATATAATATTATTAATATAAAGATAAACTATAAGAAGATAATATTTATTTTCATTCTTTAGATAAAGAGTAGGTCCATTATTACTTTTCTTAAATCCATTTTGATAAAAATAATGATCAATTTTACTATATCATACCCTTCACGTTCGTTTAAGCTAATAAAGTGCTTTTATGAGTTTATACACTGTTTTTTCATATCCTTTAATTAAAAAATTTTAAGTTAAGTAATAAAAATCTTTTCTTGTAAGTCTTTGTTTAATTTCACATCAAATTGATAAATAAGACTAAAACTAGCAACTGAAAAAAAAAGTATTATCAAAATTAATACATTGCTACGGATATCCCTTAGATATAAGCCGAGTCTTATGCTTTTGAATTTTTCTATACTTTATTTTAAATATTCATTTTAATCTATTTTTTTTTTTAGATCCATTAGCTCATAAGTTTTATTTTTCTCAATTGATTTAATTTTCTCATACATTGTTTTTTGTCATTCCTCTTTTTTAATTATTTTTTCAAAACTTATAGGATCTAAAATAAATGTTGAATCATAAATTTCTATTAGAGATTTGAATTTTCTTGGAGTTGTTTCATACGAAAAATTATTTAATAAATTTGAACTGCTACTATTGGATAAGGTTAATGGATCTATCACTTTAATTGTATGGAGTCTAGTTCTATTGGAATTTAAATTTATTTTTTACCTTTATTATTCTCTCAATTTTAGCTTGTCCTTTCATCAAACATAATATTTCTATTAATAATAACTTTTCTACTAATAAAATTATATAATTAATAAATTTTAGATTAGAAGGAATAATCAATTAAGATAGATATTTTAGATTTTTCATCATGCTTATGATGATTTTATAAATTTACCAAAGTATAAGTAATATAATTAAAAATTCTTAAATGATTTACACTTAGGTTCATACAAGCTTAAAAAAGAATTTGATTCATAATAGTCTTTGGTGAAATATTTAACAAATAAATTATTGTTGCAAATACTTCTACTCAAAATTGATTTGGAAGATGCTTTCTCTTAAGTAAACTTTTTACCATTTTAACTATAATTTGATTCTAACATTCAGCTACATCATTTTGCTTTGGTATATGTGGTACTATCAATTTTCTATGAATATCATTTCTTCACAAAAAGAATTAGACTTATTAGATATAAATTCACCATCTCTATATATTTGAAGGATCTTTATATATCTATTATTTTGTCATTCCAAAAGTACTTTAAATTTTTAAAAATTATCAAATATTTTATATTTCAATTCCAAGAAATATACCTAACTTATATGATTATAATCATCAGTAAATAATAGAAAATATCAACTTCTACCAAATGATTTTATAATTATAGGTCTACATAAATCAACATAAATTAATTCAATATAATTATATGTTCTCTATGTTTTTCTAATAGGAAATGGTTTCTTAGTTTGATTGCTATAAATGTATCCTATACATACATCAAATATATTAATTTTGAACAATCCAAAAACTATTTTTTTTACTTGATAATCTTAAATCCTTAATGTTAAGATGTTTATATCTTAAATACTACAAATTAAATTCATTCTTTTAAGTTATAATGAGAGTATGCTTTTCAATATTTAAAACATTAAGTGAAAATATCTTATTTTGAGTCATGCAAACATTTACTATAATCAAACAAGATTTTTTATCTTTAATAATGCATGAACCATTATCAAATATAATTAAATATTTATCCTTAATAAATGTCCAATACTTAATAAGTTATATGATAAACTATAAACAAAGAAAATATTATTAAGATATTTTACTTTCCCTTGTCTTGTCTTCACCTTAATTATTTTTTTATTTTTTACTTATATTTGTTTGTTATCTCTAAGTCTAACTTTCAACTTATGAGTTTTATTAATATCTCTAAATATTGATCTTTATAGCTGACATATGATTCATTATTCAAAAATCAAATATGAGATATCATTAACTTATAAATGAGTCATAAATAACTTGCTACTTTCTTTATTTTCCTCCATATAGCTTATTTACTTTTCTCTTTTCTAGTAATTTACCTACTAAACTTTTTACAATAGTGAGATTTAATTCTACTCTTGTAGTTTTTCATATCATACAATAGTAACATTTAATTCTACTCTTATAGTGTTTCTAATCATAATTTGATTATTTTTGTTCATCATACTCATTAAAGTGTCCTTTTCCTCTTCCACTTTCATTTGCTCTACCATGGAATTTTCTTTTACCACATCCTCTTCTTATTCATTTTTTATCTCTTCTTTTAAAGTAGAAGATTCTCCCTTAAAAGTAAAATACTTTTTTTCCCTTTTCTCAAATAACCCATTCAACATTGCTTCATATGCTTACAAGAAATTTATTAGTTCATCAAATAAAAAAATAGACAAATCTTTTAACTCTTTAATTGCAACAACAAAATGATCAAATTTCAGAGTTAAACTTCTTAGAACTTTTATAACAATTATGTGATCCTAAAAATATTCACAATAGCAAGAAAATCTTACACTAATTTATTGCTTTGATGAATAAAATTTTAAACTTCTGATGAAGGGTTTAAAGTTTTATCGTAATTACTTTCTATGAGCGTTAAAATTTATTTTAAAATATCAACCAAGCTTGTTTTAAGGTTGTAACTACTATAACCATTGAGAAGATTATCTCATATACAACTAGTTGAACGAATAACAATGTCTACGAGTCTTTTTTATTCTCTCTTGGCCTGTTTTTCATTTAAATGTATATATCTATTCTCTGTTAACTCCTAAAGATCTTCGTACTTGAATAGAGTTTTTATCTTGATACTCAAAATTTATAGTATTTGTTCGAAAAGATAAGAATAAGGGGTTGAGACATGAAATCACCATTGAAATTCATAGTATTTGAACTAGGCTCTTATACCACAAATATTGGGATTGAGGGGCAAGGAAATAATAAAAATAAAATATTATGATATAACTGAAATAGAGTACTTTTAATCAAGAAAATAAAAATAATTTTAAATAGGAGATAAAATTAAAAATACTTACAAAATAATTTGATAATAAATTTTTAGAACTATATAAAGCATAATAACTATATAAGATAATTTTCAATCACTTTCACAAGCGGACCTATGAAAGTGTCTGACGCCTTCCATAAAGAGCCGACGATAATGTGTGTGGTCTTCTTCCTCCTTCGTTCTCTCGCTGTCTCTCTCCTTCTTCTTCTTCCTAATGCTCCTCGTCTCGTTCCAAGAAGGAAGGTAAAATAAGAGTGTCTGAGATGGGAGGGAAAGGAGGCTCGTCGTCTCCGTCCTCTTCACCGGCGCTTCCCGTCTGTTGCATGTGCGGTGATCGCGGCCTGTCAGAGGAACTCTTCCGATGCAGATCCTGCCTCGTTAGGTTTCAGCACAAGTAAGAAGAAACAAGATCATCGATCGTCTAACTTTGTTGTATGAAGTTGGCCTTTTCCTAGCTTTATCCGTCAGATAAGCTGTAGACTATATATCAGATACTGCAGCAATCTCTACCCGAGAGCTGAGTGCTATCGCGCGTGCAATTGGTGCTTAAGCGATCGAAAAGAAAATAAGCCCGTGGCAGACTCCTCCATAGATCAGATCAACTCCGTGTCTTCCCCCTCTAATAGCAATGGTGGATTCGGTTCAGGAAATGAGTTACAACGCTGTTCCTCACCGTCCCCATTGCACCACGACAAGCCCATCAAGAAGCAAAGACTGCCCGACAAAGCATCATCGAGCTCGATCGAAAGCGTGAGATCCGAGACGCGGACGCAACCCAAGCAAGCCTTTCGAGGTAGAGTCAAGAGGTATAAGCTCCTGGAAGAGGTCTCCAGCTAAGTGTGGACTGCTGCCTTCATGCTGTACGCTAAGAAATAAGGGGAGCACAATCAATCGAGTGATTGGTTCCTGTCTCCTCCAATCTCGAGATGCCTCTGAGATCGAATTCTTCTTACCTTTCTGAATTCGAATCATCTTCTTATCTATCAGTTAAATTGAGAACAAATGTATATCTGTTCAGGGGAGGAGGCACTGCCTTTATCTCAAGCTATGCTGATAGCTACAGGAACCTTTTTTTGCTGCACCTGAACACGAGATATGGTTTCACCATGAAAACGACTCTCTCTCTCTCTCTCTCTCTCTCAGAGTGGAATCAGGTTCCATAATTTCTACGTTGCGGACCCACAGAGGGAGATTACTATAGGGGAATGTTGTAACAAAGGCTCCATCCAACAGCGACTGATGGCATCTTCATCACCACCCACACACTCCACGTTGATTATGCATCACCAGTTGTTGTGTTTCTTAAGAAGGAAAGCTTCATTCAACCCTTTCTTCGGAGCTGCTTTTGCTTAGAGATAAACATATTCACACCACATAAACTCCATGTCCCCTCTCTCGCTCTCGCACCAACCAATCAGCATCGGGAATCGCGGACGATGGTACGTGACATTTCCTATCATAGACACTTTATGAGTTCTTTCATATGTTCCATCATCTCCTTATTCCGAAAGGATAAATGCTAGTCTCATAGACCAATTAGAAATTCACATCAGTAGTCTCACCTTATCCATACTTATTTTACAGAAGATTCTAGTTAAAGTAAAAAAAAATTAATGCGTGATTTTGGAAAATATTGGATTCAACTTGAGATCAAGAATAGTTTAAGATTGCAACGAGATGAGAAATATATATATATATATATATATACATATTCTTTAAGGACCTAATTGTGAATATAAATCTTAAGAAAGACTAAATTGCAAAAAAAAAAAACAATTTTGACCTTCCACCACTACCTCTTCCGACCGTCATAAGCCGGCCACCGCAACCAATAATGAAAAAAAGAAGACAGAGGAAACTAAGAGGGGATGAAACAAAAGAACGAAAAGAAAAGATAAGAAGAAGAAAGAGACGGGAACTTACTCGACAGTAGGAAATTCGTATAAAATTAATTTACGTATGATTTTAGATTCTTAATTTTTTTTGTTAATTAGAATACTAAATAAGATTATTAATTAGTTATTTATAGCTTCTTAAGTTAATAGAATTCTTAATGACATTAATCCTTAATTAGCATTAACTTATTGTTAAAGTTCATGTTTCAGATGGAGTACAAAAGGGAGAAAGCTGTCCTGATACTTAGGTAGGAATAAAAAGAGAGATAAAGGGAAGCTGCTTATGGTTTATTTAGGAATTGACAAAATTCTTAGAATAATTAGAAATGATAACAATGAATAATGAAGAAGAAAATAAAGTCAAATCAAGGTAATTTATAGATGATATTTGTTCATATTTTAGGGTGATTAATGAATAATATTTTATGTATAATTAGAAAAAAAAAAGTATTTTGATTATTAAGTGAGTTAAAGGATCCACGTTTCGACCCGGGTAACTCTATCAAGCTTATTTTAAAAGTAATATACATGCATTTGCTTATACGTTTGAAGCTTATGGAAATGTATGGTTTGCACTTATTAAATGAAATATGTATAAGCTTTAGAAGTATCAATTTGATATTTTAATGATTCATAAATTATTTATGAAAGATAAAAAATAATTATTCAAGAATTTATTTTCTAAATGTATTTGATACTTGATATTGTATGACTCGTATGAGTACAATCTAGAGCAGGTTATAGATTAGAAAATATTTTAGAAACTAATTTCTTCTAGCTAGATCTTGACATACGGATAAATATGTTACCTATACCATGAAAGTTAAACATGATTCTGAGTCGTATCATAAGGATACAATATGGTCTTAATACCATTATGACTATTGTTTTGACACACACCCATAACTATAGTTATATTTATTATGAATGTACAATTTAGCTATATTTATTGAACTTCTGAACAATTATTCATGATCATTTCTATAAATATGTGTTAGAGCTATCCCCAGGAAATTTACCAAAAGGTAATTTTGGCAACCCAACAAAGACAATAAAGCGGAAGAATAAAAGAAGCGACAAGAACACCAGATTTACGTGGTTCGGTCAATTGACTTTGACCTACATCCACGGACGAAAGATGAGCAAATCACTACTATAAAAGGGACAATTACAAATGCCTTAGGAAGATGTTCCTATGCCATAAGACACCAAAAATACTCAACAAGAAAAAACCCAAAGTATAAGTCCAAACTATCTTACTGAGTATGGACTTAAACCAAAGTAAATACTTAGGTTTTCTTGTGGTGCCACTTATGGTACCTCTTGTGGTGCATCTGACTTCAAAGCCCAAGCCCTTATTTATAGTTCCAAGACGAGACAACAAGTCTGATTTTCCCGATGTGAGACTATGGGACTTGCCAAACTAACAAATCTCCACCTTGGCATGTTCCAACAAAACTTGCTCTACCTTCTTCATAAAAGCCCCAACGGGCAATCACCAATAATGAACACCAACCAAGTCCAAGCACTGCTTGAACTTGTAAACCGAAAGAGGCTTCGTAAACATATCAGCTGGATTGTCCTTCGTATGAATTTTCTGAACAAGGACCTTTCTTTCAGCAATGGTATCCCATTTGCATCCAACAATTTTCTTACCCGAAGGCGGTTTCACAAGATCCAAAGTTCTATTCCGATGGAGATATTCTATTTCTTCATTCATTGCAATCAACCACTTAGCGGAATTATCACAAGAAACTGCATCTGAGTAGGAAGTAGGCTCACTAACTTCACTTGTCTCTTCTGCAACAGACAAAGCATATGCAACCAAATTTGCATACCTTTGTGGTGGTCGAATATTTCTCCGTGGTCTATCCTTGGCTATGGAATATTGCTCTTCCTCTGGAGCAACTGCATCAGTAGACTCGGGACCACCTACTGGCATTCTTTGAGTAGAAGAGTTCGACTGAAAAGAATTAGAACTCCCAATCTCAAGCTCCACCTGCTTCTACGCACTATCATTTGTACAACTAGTAGAATCCTCTTTGGAAGATAACATAAACAATTCATCAAAGTAACATCTCTACTGATTATAAATTATGGAGATTTGGGATCATAATACCATAATCTGTATCCTTTCACCCCAGAAGCATATCCAAGGAAAATGCACTTTTTAGCTCGAGGCTCTAATTTTCCTTCATTTACATGCATGTATGTTGGACACCCAAAAATTTTTTAAATCAGAGTAATCAACAGGAGTACCTGACCAAACTTCCTCCGGAGTTTTAAAGTTAAGTGCTGCAGAAGGAGCGCGGTTGACAACGTAACAAGCCATATTAATCGCCTCTGCCCAAAAGTCTTTTGTCAACCCTGCATTTGAGATCTTACACCTCGCTCTCTCCAAGAGTGTTCTGTTCATACGTTCGGCCACACCATTTTGCTGAGGCGTCATCCTAATAGTGCGATGCCGAACGATTCCTTCATTTTTGCAAAATTCTTCAAAATCACCTTCACAAAATTCCATGCCATTATCTGTTCGAAGCCGCTTAATATGTTTACCTGTTTGCTTCTCAATCAAAGCCTTCCATTGTTTAAAGGTTAGAAAAACATCATTTTTATGCTTCAGAAAATAAACCCAAACTTTTCTGGAATAATCGTCAATGAAAGTCAACATATACCTGGCACCACCCTTAGACTGAACTTGAGTTGGACCCCAAAGGTCTGAATGAATATAGTCAAGAGTACCTTTCGTTTTGTGAACTGCCGGAGAAGTGAAGCTGACTCTTTTCTACTTTCCAAAAATGCAGTGTTCACAAAAACAAGTGGCCCAGTACCCTGTCCGCAAAGTAGACCCCTTTTGCTCAATATGCTCAAACATTTTTCGCTCATATGACCCAAACGCATATGCCATAATTTGGTGATGTCAGAATCAGACAATGATGATGACAAAACTGCAACCGAACCTATGATAGTAGTTCCCTGCAGAATATACAAACTACCAGACCTACAAGCTTTCATAACAATAAGGGCACTTCTAGAAACTTTCATAACTCCACCTTCAGCTGTGTATTTACACCCCCAAGGGCCTCTAGGGTGCCTAAAGAGATGAGATTCTTTTTTAAATCAAGAACATGTCTAACATTAGTGAGCGTCCTCACAATACCATCATGCATTTTAATTTGGATTGTGCCTTTACCAACAACATCACATGCGGCATTATTGCCCATTAAAACAATTCCACCATTACAAGATTCATATGTGGAAAACAAATCCCTATTGGGACACATGTGATAAGAACAACCCGAATCTAAAATCCATTCATTTTTAGACATCGTCCTGTCATCAATAGCAGAAAAAATATTTCCAACAATCTCATCAGTTGCTACACTAACTTCAGCGGATTCAGTAGTTTTTTCAACAAATTTTTCCTTTTGCTTTAATTTATTTTTCAATTTAAAGCAATCAGATTTAATGTGGTCCATTTTATGACAATATCTGCATTCCAAATTTCTATGTCTAGACTTAGATCTAGATTTAGATCTACTATTGTCAAATTCTCTTTTATCCATTCTCCCCCTAACAACCAGACTCTCAACCTGATTCTCTCTACTTTCCCCAGTGATATTCTTGTCTATCTGCTCCTTAGATTTCAGTGCAGATTTAATTTCTTGATACGAAACTATTTCTTTTCCATAAATCATAGTATCACAGAAATGCTTAAAAGATTGGGGAAGAGAACACAAGAGTAACAAACTTATCAAGATGCGAGAGTATAGATGTACCTTCAATCATCTGAAGCATATATAGTCTCTGCTTCAAGTAGAGACGATTCTCCACTGTCCTCTTCATGTACAAGGCTTTAAGCTTGTCCCACATGCTCTTAGCCGTAGTCTCCGTAGCTACCTCCCGTAAAACCTCGTCAGAGAGATTTAGAATGATGCTTGATCGGGCCTTCTTATCCATACCCGCAAGCTCTTCTTTTGACATATCATCTGGAATGCTCTCGGCTCCCTGTAGTACCAAATCAACTCCGTCTTGAACAAGAATGGCCTCCATCTTGAGTTACCACAAGCCGAAGTTGACATTTCTGTCGAATTTCTCGACAACAATCTTTGTTATTGTCATCGTTGCCAAAAGATCCCAGAACCAAGCTCTGATACCAGTTTGTTAGAGCTATCCCCAGGAAATTTACCAAAGGGTAATTTTGGCAACCCAACAAAGATAATAAAGCGGAAGAATAAAAGAAGCGACAAGAACACCAGATTTACGTGGTTCGGTCAATTGACTTTGACCTACATCCACGGACGAAAGAGAAGCAAATCACTACTATAAAAGGGACAATTACAAATGCCTTAGGAAGATGTTCCTAGGTCATAAGATACCGAAAATACTCAACAAGAAAAAACCCAAAGTATAAGTCCAAACTATCTAACTGAGTATGGACTTAAACCAAAGTAAATACTTAGGTTTTCTTATGGTGCCACTTATGGTACCTCTTGTGGTCCATCTGACTTCAAAGCCTAGGCCCTTATTTATAGTTCCAAGACGAGACAACAAGTCTGATTTTCCCGATGTGGGACTATGGGACTTGCCAAACTAACAATATGCTACTATGATATTTTGACACATCATTTAGCTATAATTATGACTTTGTTTACTCTCAAATGAATATAAAGCTTGCGCATGACATTTGATAGAAATAATAAGAATGACTTAACATTCTATATATTTTGCTAAATTGATTGCTTTTAATATATTTATAATTATTTGTAATAATTTTTTGTTGGTATATGAGTTATGGTGTTTAATGGACTATCATTTGCTTATATTTCTATTCTTTAAAATTTTCAAATCCCGAGGAATAGTCTAGCGTGAATATGCTTAAGGGAAAATATTATAGTTTAGAACCTTATTATATCTTGGACTTGTATAACGTTAATATGAAATATTATTTTGGATCGGATATGGTGATCTTGTAATTATGTGAATACACTAGTATTGACTGTGATATGATGCAGAATTTTATATAATTATACGGTGGTTATATGAAGATGAATAACTTACTTGATTGTGTGAAAATTATGTTGCTTGTTCAGGTTTTGATTGTGTGATTTTTGTTAATTATATTATATTATATATATATATATATATATATGAGTTGTTCAAATATAATTGAACATGTTATGAATGTCCAATGATTGAATTGTTTGAGTTAAAATATAATGAATGTTTTATAAAATTAAATTATCCATTCAGAATTTAGTCTTACATTCCCGTAGTAAAACATATAGGATTGCGGCTACCATTTCGGCCTTTCAAACAGTTTTTTGGGGGCGTTACAATCTTTCTGATAATTTAGATTCCTGTGGATCCATCAAGTTGAGCCCCCAAAGTTCAAGCACAACAGTCTTTGAGGGCGTCGGGGTCACCACCGGTTCCGGTGATGCATTCCCCCTCACGGGCTGTCACTATGACGGACCAGCAGGACTGGAGGATCCCTCGTGCATCTCGAATTGGAAGAACCCGAAAGGCTACACGATTTCTTTGGACAAGCGTCCGGCTGCGGATGGCAGGGATCTCCGGGAAGTGCAGGTCGATGACAACTTGGCGAAGCTCTCCGAGGCCTTGTATGTGGCGGAGCACAAGGCAAGAGAGGCTGTTGCAATGCGATCAAAGGTGCAGAGGGAGATGATGATGAATGAGAAAGAAAGAAAGAAAGAAAGAAAGGAGCCGGAGCAGGAGCTCCGTGCAGTGGCTCAAAAGGCTCGTTCTGAGACGACCGGCAATGCTTCAGCACCTGCCGATACTGAAACAGGAGAACAAGAAGAACAGCACAAGGAGACAATCGAGGAACGGAGAGAGCGGCTGCAGCGCGATCAAATCCGTGAAGAGCGTAGACGTGAGAGGGAGAGGGAGAGAAGGTTGGAGAATAGGGATGCCGCAGTGGCGAAGAAGAGCAAGACCACCAGGGATAGGAATCGAGATGTCAGTGAGAAGGTTGCTCTGGGCATGGCTAATAACATACTTGGGGGTGAGGAGGTCACAATATACGATCAGAGGCTCTTTAGCCAGGACAAGGGCATGAATTCTGGGTTCGCTGCCGAGGACCAGTACGACGTATATGATAAGGACCTGTTCACGGCACAGCCCACAGTATCTACGCTATGCAGGCCACAGTGCTAATCTAAATGAAGAATGTGTATCAAAAATTTCAACTTGTTTATTTCGCACTTGTTTCCAGAATTTGATTCAAAAGAGCATGTTGATATTCACAAAAGTTTTTTTTTAATTAATTATATATATATATATATATATATATATATGAAATGAAATAATAAAGTTGATATTAGGGAGTAATTCAGTGACAAACATATGTTTTCATCATTAAAAGTTTAACCACGGAATCTACACTAACAAAGGAAGCATCCATCTGTTCATCATTAATATTCTACTACAAGTTTTTATGTTTTGATGATGATTTTTATCTGTGGCCAAAAGGCATTTTTCTTATAGTGGATAGATAGTGAATGTTGGTAATATAATTACAGATATGGTCATCTCTTTCCACTCCCGAAGGAATCATTTCTTCTCTCCTTCTCATACCAATGTTTTAGGTGTCATTTCAATTCATTGTTAGACTTCAGACTCTTCTAACACTTTTTGAAAACTTATTCATAAATGAAAGTAAAATCATACAAAGATTTTTTATTAGATGAGAAGATATTTTTTAATAAAAATTAAAAATTTACAAAAGGTTCGAGAAATAGCCATGTAGATACTTTAATTGAAAAATTAAAAGATTTATCTAAATTATTTATTAGTGAATTATTTATTTTTTATTTCAATCGCCTCTGATAGATGAAGACAGACATGGATTATTATTATTATTGAACATGCTTTGTAAACTAAACTAAATATTTTTAGCCAAAAAAATATATTGATGGACAAACATCAATCAAATAAGATTTTGATGTTTAGATAGTCTAGATTATCAAAATTCGAAAAACAGTGAGAGTAACAATCAAAACTGTGTGAAAATAAAGCTCTAGAGTGATCATTGCAAAAGATATGATCATATTAAAAAAAATTGTAATATTAAAAAGTAATATTTTAAGAAGCCAATTATGTGGGAGAGAAGATATTTCTAAAAAAAATTATTAAATAAAATGCATACTATCTTAAAATGTATTCCAATCACGCATGCATTAGAAATCGTTGGCATCTCCGTCTAATCCAATGTTTCTCACTGGTGATCGAAGGCAGGAAAGTGGCAAAGGTGCCGTCGTCACTATCACACCCTCATTTATGTGCAAGAAAGACGAAGTTTTTGGACTCCCCCTATTATGACCCGAGCCTGATGGGCTAACTAGTCTATCAACTTCGTAAAGTTTGGTCTAAACTACGGACCAAAATGCTTAAGCTGAAGTTGATAGTAATACACTCATCAGACCCTTATAAGCCAATCTTAATTTTGCCCACTTTCGATGTGGGACTAATCAGGGGTGTTACACTCATCAGACACTTTTGACGTCCTCGTCAAGCCCCAACATTACCCAGATCAGACCCTAGCATAGTGTAACACCCCTGATTAGTCCCACATCGAAAGTGGACAAGATTAAGATTGGCTTATAAGGGTCTGATGAGTGTACTACTATAAACTTCA